ACGAGAAATGGCTGGGGGAACTGGGGGGGTTTAGTCTGGAGAAGAGGAGGCTGAGGGGAGACCTCCTGGCCCTCTGCAACTCCCTGACAGGAGGGCGCAGAGAGAGGGGATGAGTCTCTTGAGCCAAGGACCCAGTGCCAGGACAAGAGGGAATGGCCTCAAGCTGCCCAGGGCAGGGTCAGGCTGGCTCTGAGGAAGGATTTCTTTGCGGAAGGGGCTGTTGGGCATTGGAATGGGCTGCCCAGGGCAGGGGGGGAGTCCCCATCCCTGGACATGTTGAAGAGTCGGGCTGACCCAGCACTGAGGGATCTGGTGGAGTTGGGAACGGTCAGGGGGAGGGTCATGGTTGGACTGGAGGAGCTTCAAGGTCTTTTTCCAAACAAGATGATTCTGTGAAAAATTGGTACAAGCACTTCAAGGGCAGGAGAAGGACTTGATACTACTTTCAGTGAGCTTTTGGTAAAACTTAATTACAATTATCTGTGTGGGGTTTTATGAGAGGACTAAAACCAGGACTTAGGAAATAACAACAGAATAAATTTATAGTCAAGGCAAAATGTTATGATGATACATTTATGGATGCATAGGTGTGGGAACCAGGTAATCATTAAAATAAAATCAGAATGACTGAACACCTAAAAATTCTAGTTAAGATGAACAGAATTTGACAAAATATAAGAGATCTAATAGCCATGAAACAATATTGATATCATAGATATACTTACAAGGCAGAACCTAAGGCAAACCTTGAGTCAACCAGCTACACACAACCATGCTCCAGAACTCACAAAGCCATCAGATATCCTCTACATAAAGGTTTTCTTCAAGGATAGTTTCCATAGGTTGTGTTCAGAATCTCCATCTTGACAATTAATTGATTTTTCTTATCAAATACTAACTATCTTCCTTGAAGCAGTAATGGAAAAAGAGGTCTCCTCCTTCTGAATTGGTCTAGTTCTTGCCCCATGAGATAAAGCTGCTGCTTCAGTTTTAAATTTTTTGGATCTTCCTACTCTGTTTGCCACACCTCTTCTACTACTTACTGGATGGAAGATGGAAATAACAACAGTCTTTAGGTTCAGTGTTCTCAAACGACCTCTGGATCACAGATTTTTAATCAGTCATGTCTGTTAGTTTTGGTTCTCTTCTAGGAAGCTCTGAGCAACAGCAGACACACCAGAGCTACTGACATACAGACTCAGCAGGAAAGTATTTCACCTGACCATGCTCAGAAAATTAACTGACAAGACACCTTGAAGTGCTAAGGCTTGGACAACCAGTCCAAGCCAGAGTTGACCTATAGATGAATCCTGTATATTTTATAGCTGATAACCATTGTGCTAACATGTATTATACTGTTATAACCAACTACCTATTCTGATGTAAAAGGTGGAAGTGTTGAAGCCTAAGCAACAGGCCCTGAGCCAAAGCTGCTAACTCAATATGTAGTCATTAGTAAGATATGCATAGAAGATGTAGCTTAAACATCATAAAACATGTCTATCTTGGATATATCCTTATCTTTCTTTGTGTGTGGGCAAGATAACAGGGCCACAGAGACAGTTGTCTGGCCTTGGGACCTGATGTGTGACCTTGCTCATAAATCAACTAGATTTACTCGATCAACTCCCTGAGCTTCTCCCCTGAGCCCTGGCCATGCTCTGGGGGGATCTAATGTTAGAGTGAAACCAGATATTTCCGCTTAAAACAAAGGTGCCAGCTCTTCTGGCTTGCTGATTTTGGGGTCTATAAGGCTGGACCCGCTCACAGCGACTCTGGATGCCTCAGCTGCAGGCGGAGGCACCGTGTAGGATTTCCCACTGCCCGGGCCAGGCTCTGCCAACCCCCGTGTAACTGGGGCTGCCCAGCGCTGCGGGGCTGGGGGGTGGTAAAGTCTGTGAGTGGGGATGGATCTTTCTGAATCACTGTTCTCTCTCTCTCAGGTAGTAATGACTGGATGTGTTACCCTGTATTTTCCTATTTGTTTAAGTGCACTATTCTGTCTTTTCTTACTGTAGGTTTTCTGTATTATTCTGTTACATTATTTAGTTATTTCCAGTAAAATACACCTGCTCTTTTCACTCTGGTGTCTGAGTTTAATTAGTATTCCTAATCAGCAAAACACACCTAAAGTATTTTAATGCCTGTCCCTTTTCTTCCTCAGGATGGCCTAAAGGTTCTTCTAGACATGCAGTAACCTGTGTCTGGACAAATGTTCATGCCACCGTTGCAAATCTTCCACAAGTATTTGACCTCACCATCAGTAGTCCTATACACTAATTCTTATTAAGGGCTCAGGAATTGAATGTACTTCCCGTCTCTACTCCAGAACATATATGAGCTGAAGCTAACAGGGGGGGAAAAGTAAGATTGAAAAGGTGAATTTATTCTAACACATCAAATTCACATGGCCTGTTAGCCAAAGATTGAAAGGAAGGACGGGGAAATGTTTCATAATGTGGAAAATATATATAATCTATCCATATATATATAACATGGAATATTATGCAATATATATAATATATATATTTCCATATATACACAGAAGATATTTCATAGATAGATAGATAGATAGATAGATATGTGGAATACAAAACACTTTTGAGGGAGAAAATTGGAAGTGTGTGTCCAGACTCACTATGCAAAGGAATCCAATATCTTTAACCTATTATTTACATAGCAGGATGCTGATGGTATTTTTCCTTTCCATCCCTTTGGCACCAAGTGAATTTCGTCCAGCATATAGTATTTTTCATAAGCAATGTGATTGCCACACAGGTTCCTGAAGTGTGATACAAATACCATTAGTGGCACAAAGACATCTTAGAGGTGCTACAAAACTTCATACAGCCCGGGAACCTGCTGCTGCTCCCACTCCTGTCGCTGCTACTAATGTTTATAGCCTGACAAGAAACCTGATCATCTGTGGGCTTTAGTACCCTCATGTATGTATTGTTTCCAAGTCTGGAATCTTAGATTCATTCTTTGAATTTACCAAGTAGTGCTGTTCCAATATATTGATAGCTGGAAAGTCTCTCCCAGATGCCATTTTAATGATACTTGCCAGCAGGCGTCCTTCATGAAGACATAAATCAGAAATGAAATGAGGGGCAGCACCGTTAGAAAGAACTGGACTTGGGAGCATTTCATAGCTTTTGTAAGAAAGAACCTAGAATCAAAACCCAGCTAGTTTCTGAAAACCTGTAAATCATTAGGAAAGCTCTAACCCTAGTTTTCAAATCAATCACACACAAAATTATATATGTTTTATATATACACAAACTCACATATATTTTTGTATACACACATATATATACACACAAAAAAATGTATATTAAAATGTTATTGCTATACAGACACTTTGCTAAATGCTGCTATAAAACATTTTTCTTTGGTCAAAATAATGCCTTTCAGGACCTGGTTCTGAGTTAGTGTGCAGGGTTTACTTGGAAAAGAGTTAATTTTCTTCATAGTAGCTGATACAGTGCAGTGCTTCAGGCTCACGAGGAAAACAGCATTGGCAACACAACCATGTTGCAGCTGACCAAAGAGAGGCCCCATGCTGTGTAGCATCAAGTTCAGCAAGAAAGCTGGGGGGTGCTGTTTTTTCCAAGGTTGCTTGAGGGCCGAGTGGGCATCAGTCTGTTGATGGTGAGCAATTGCTTGTGCATCCCTTGGGGTTTTTCCCTTGTTTTTCCCCCCCTCCACTTATTAAACCACCTGCATTTCAACCCACAAGGTTTTGTGGTTTTTTCCTCACTTTTGCCCTTCTGATCTTCTCCCCCATCCCACAGGGGGAAGCAAGCAGCTGGTGGGGGCTCACCTGCTCATCGGGGTCAGCCAACCACTGCTCAGTAAGGACAACACGAGCCAGCGACGTAATGCATCCTCTGCATGTAAGGTAATGCTGCTGTTTCAGCATTCTCCACACCTGCAGCCCAAGAAAGTGAGAAAATTAAAGGATATCTTGTGGTCTGACTCTGTCACAAATCGAATGCTCCTAAAATTGTTACTGATCTATTTCCAGTACACACCACTGCTGAAAAACTTTTGTTTAGCATTGCACTGGCCACCTGAATAAACTTTCTCTTACCAAACGTATCACAGTAAACATTTTAGGACATGGATCCAGGTTGCTCAAGGTTATTTTTTCATCCTGTACCTTTTCCTGTTGTGTGTGTACCTCTGACCCACTGACACAGGAATGGGAAGAAACTTACGGATTCTCAAGTCCTGCTGCTTGCTGTGGAGGAACAGACCTGGCACATGGCTTTATTCTATCAAGGTCTATCTTAAACTGAGGTAAGGGGCTGGTCCTCACTGTGGCCATCGTGAATCCTGCCTTGTTTGATGGCTCTTCATGCCTTGTTCGGGTAGAAAATATTCAAACAGGAAGAGAAATATATTTAACCCTTTCAATCATATAGGGGGGTTTTATGTTTGTTTTTTTCCTTCTTCTTTCCTTCTTTTTCTTCTTTTTGTTACCAGGACTCTGCTCTTGTGATAACTAGAAAATTCCATGGATGCTTGGCTGGTTTCTCTCTCTCTTTTCGTGTGCAGTGTTGGTACCAGCTTAAGTAACTGCGCTCCTTCTCCATTTCTTACATGAGACACTACTACTAACACACCCTAAAAGATACGCCTTTTTTTCCCCAAAAACATTGCATTTTTGACTCTGTTCAGTTTATGACTCATTACAAACCAGTTTCTCCTGTGCTGCTGTTCCCTAGTTAGCTTTCCCACCTTGTATTTACCCGTTTGACTTCTTTTTATGTGCGCTACCTTGAATTCTCTTTCCTAAATTTCCTCTTTTTGACTGAGGATAATCCCCCCGGTTTATCACGCTGCTTTTCAAAACCGGGTCCCTTCCCTCCAGGCTCTTTCCAACCCTTCCGGCCTTGGCTCCCCCCGAGGGGGCGGCCCCGGCGCGGGCCCCACCGCGCTCT